TTAATGTTACAGACTTCTTACCAAACAAAAAAATCTCATTGCCATCAAGTTGATTCTGACTCCTAGAGACCCTATAGGATAGGGTTGAACTGTCCTTGTGGATTTCTGAGACTGTAACCCTTGACTGGAGTAGAAAGCCTCCTCTTTCTCCTATGGAGCATCTGATGGTTTTGAACTGCTGACCTTGTGGTTAGCAGCTCAATGCATCAGTAGACAAAGGTAAATACTCTAGAAAAATAGGCAATAGATAGACACAAGCAATTGTTCTATGAAAATGTGCAACTCTGCTTATCAGCAAGGAAGGTCACATGACAAACATTAATATATCATTTTCCCCCAGGTATTAGGCTCACAGTGATCTTTAAAAAGTGACAATAACGAATGATGCTGAGTGTATAGGATTTGAAGTGCTCTCCTGACTGGTGGGAGTGGAAATGGTCGCAACTTTTCTGGAGCGCAACTTTCATAAAAAGCCTTAGAATTATTCCGATCTTGGGACCCATAAGTCAATTTCCAGAAATAGCCTAAGATGTGGGGGGGGGGAAAGACAAGGTATTCCTTGCAATGTTATAAAAAATGAAGAAACAACCTAAACATGCAAAAAGGAGAAAACAGAAAGAGAGAAATGTGTATATATATATAGGAGTCCTGCTGGTCTAGTGGTTCTGTGTTGGGCTTGCTCCACAAAGTCAGCAGTTCTAAATGACCAGCCACTCCTCAGGAGAAAGACAGGATTTTCGACACCATAAAACATGTACAGTCTCTGAAACCCACGGGGGAGTGGCTATTAGTGGGTATTGACTCGATGGCAGTTAGTGAGAGTGATATAGTAAACAATCATATCACTGTGCACCCACCTTTCGGATATGACCGCTGAAGACAAATGTATGCATAAGCAAATGTAGTGAAGAAAGCTGATGGTGCCCGGCTATCAAAAGATATAGTGTCTGGGGTCTTAAAGGCTTGATTGTAAACAAGCGGCCATCTAGCTCAGAAGCAACAAAGCCCACATGGATGAGGCACACCAGCCTGTGTCACCACGAGGTGTCGAAAGGATCAGGCATCAAAGAACAAAAAATCACATCATTGTAAATGAGGGGGAGTGCAGATTGAGGACCCAAAGCCCATCTGCAGGTAAGGGGACATCCCCTTTCAGAAGGATCTCGGAGAGGAGACGAGCCAGTCAGCGTGCAGTGTAGCAAAAATGAAACATACAACTTTCCTCTAGTTCCTAAATGCTTCCCTCCTCCCCCACCCCCACTACTATCGTGAACCCAATTCTACCTTACAAATCTGGCTAGACCAGAGGGTGTACACTGGTACAGATAGGAACTGGAAACACAGGGAATACAGGACAGATGATCGCTTTAGGACCAGTGGTGAGAGTGGCGATACCGGAGAGTGGAGGGAAGGTGGGGTAGAAAGGGGGGACCGATTGCAAGGATCTGTATATAACCTCCTCCCTGGGGGATGGACAACAGAAAAGTGGGTGAAGGGAGACGTC